GACTGGGATAATTGGGATGGGAGTGTCAGAGACAGTGCGACTGGCACAGGACAGAGCGGACTTCAGGGCTGTTGTACATAGGGTCGCTATGAGTCGCAAGCGGCTCGACAGCACATAACAACAAACAACAGCAGGCTGAACAAATAATTTGAAAACCTGGACTATCTGAAGAGGAATGTGGCATCGAAATTGAAAGATGACTCATCATCTTAACCTGTGTTAAGCAGATAACACAACTTTGTTGGGATTCTATTCAGTGGCATAAGCAGTAAAATCAATATTCCTCTGAAGGTAATGGATGAAAATTGACATGTACAACTTCCCTATACTCTGTGATCATTGAATTATCTTAGCATGTTCATTCTTTTGACCTGCCAGACCTTTGATTGCGCTATATAGTCAGGTCACCAAGTGGAAATCTGGGAGCCATCTGGAGGACTCTAATTTGAATCCTTTATTTGTATAAATTCTTTATTCATAAGTTCAAACCTCACAAACACAATTAATTGTATGTTAAATTATTTATTAAACAGATGAATATTGATGCCAAAACTTTTTCAGATCTTGAAAACTGTAATACAGACACAAATCAGTTGGGGCTCTAGGTTTATAAAGTCCATAGTACACTGTTCTTATGCTTGAGAGGTAATCACTCTCATAGACTTCAGCATCTTATTAAATGTTTTCACTAATCTTTCATTACTATATATATTAAGTGTTTGAACTAAAGTGGATAAAGAGGAGATGTAGACTTTGTACAGTTTTGGTTGCTACTACTCATGCTTCTATAAATTCATTCTGGTACTTGTCCCCACCCAGTCACTTTGAGGAAAGCCTTCTTTATGTCTTTGTTCCGGAGGCTGTAGTTGATAGGGTTGAGAAAAGGAGGAACTACAGTATAGAAAAGAGCTAGCATCTTGTCATCTTCTGGAGAGGCCTCAGAGCCAGGCCTCATGTACATAACCATGCATGGTATGGAGAACATAGTGACCACAGTGATGTGGGAGGCACAAGTGGAGAAGGCCTTGAGCTTCCCCTGGGTTGAGCGGATCTTCAAGATGGCAGAAAAGATATTGAAATAGACAAGAATGATGAGGGATAGTGGGACTATCAGAAGGAAGAATCCCAAGATGAAGCCCAGTCGGTCATTGAGAGATATATCTGTACAGGCTAACTTCAAGACAGCAGGAACTTCACAAATGAAGTGATTTATTTCATTAGGTCCACAATAGGGAAGAATCATAGTAGACACTGTGTATATAAGGGCACAGCTGATGCCCCAGAATCCACAAAAGGCCACCATTGACCCACACAGAAGAGGGCTCATAATGACCTTATATCTGAGAGGGTGGCAAATGGCCACATACCTGTCATAAGCCATGATAGCAAAAAGCCAAAACTCTGAGATGCCCAGCATTAGGGAGATGTACATCTGGACTGCACACCCAAGGTAAGAGATGGTCTTCTTCTGGGAAACCATATGCACTAGCATCTGAGGCACTATGGTGGTGACATATACTGTATCCAGAATGGAAAGGACACAGAGGAAAAAATACATCGGTGTGTGGAGGCGGGAGTCCATAAATATTAGGGTGATAATAAGTCCATTGCCTAAAAGTGTAATGAGGTAGAGGAAGAGGAAAAGAATAAGGAGAATAACATTTGTTTGTGTATCACTAGAGAATCCTAAAAGAATGAACTCAGTAATAGAGCTGTGGTTCCTCCTGAGAAAATCCTGCATATTTTTTTTCTTTCTGTAGGGAAAAAAATAGAAGCATCATACATAAAGGTGAAATCTTCTGTTTCTAACATAGAGTTACTGTTCATATAGATTTTCAAGTATAAATAGCAGAGTTATTATTGTGGTGGTGGTGGTCAACTCAAAGAGACCATATGAACAAAAGGCCTGAAGCCCCTCTACAACTATCAACATTTAACAAAGTTCATAAAGTTTCCAGAGGAAGTGAATGCCGCTCCTGCTTCCAAATAGCAGAGCAGTATATAAGTAATATATTATATGTTGGGCTGCTAATTAGAGTCAGCATTTCAATTCACCAGCTGATCAGTGAGAGGAAGATTGTCTCTTTTCATAAGGATTTTTAGCCTCAGAAAACTGATGGAGAGTCATCATGAAAGCATTTTAGCAAAGCCAAAATAAAGTAAATCTTTGAGTGGATTCCAACACATAGAGACCCTTCACTGGGTTCCCAAGGCCATAAATCTTTACAGGATGAGACTATCAGTCTTAGGCGCTAGAGAATATTATGCTGAGTGAACTAACTCAGTCCCATTAGGACGAATGCTGTATAAGACCATTATTGTAGAAATAGAAAGAGAACAAGTAAAAGGTGTATGAGGAAAAGGTGGGAGCAAAGAGGTAAGGGTGGGCAGGGGCCAGGTAAAGGAAGGGAAGGATCCAATGTGAAAAACAATGTACACAAACTTTGTAAGTAAATCAGTGAAGCAAGTGGTGGGCTCAAATTACCTACCTTTAAGTTAGGTTAGAACACACTACACCACCATGGCTCTTTGACTAAATATTAAAACAAAACTTTAAACTCGTTGCTGTCGAGTACTAGCTAACCCTCCAACAGATTTCCTGTCTGTAAATAACATGGGAGGATATTGGCCATCTTCCTTCAGAGAAGCTGTTGAGGGATTTGAACCATCAGCGAGCCATGGTCTTGGCTTAGTAGTACAAATCCCTACAAACAACGTCACCCTTGTATTTATATTTAGATAGCAAACCATCTAGAACGAAATGTTTTTAAAGAACTTCTGTTTCATATGAAATATTGTTGTTGTTGTTCTTGTTGTTGTTGTTATGTGGTGTCGAGCTTTTATTATAACTCATTGTGACCCTATGAACAACGGATCTGGGCCCTGCCCTGTCCTGTTGCTATCCTCACCATCTTTGATACACTTTTGTCCATTGTTTGAGACACTGTATCTATCTTATTTAAGGCCTTCCTCTCTTAAATAAGTTCCACATTCAAAAATATAGAATTGAAAAAACTATGCCTTGTACTTACTACTTCTTGTGAAGATTTCAAAAAGATTAAGGAAAGAAAATTGGAGATTTGAGCTCACAGAATTTGCTCCTGTTACATATGAGGTAAAGAAGAATGGGAATGCCATCCTCTCCTTTGAAGTTCTTCCCAAATAGAAAGGTAAAATACATGAGCAAGTATTAAGACATAATGACCAATAGCTTTTCTAGATGAGGCAAAAGTATCAAGCCACAGATGAGAGGCCCAGCAAATTGCAAGGAAAATGAAAACTATTGAAAAACCAAAGATGTAGTCTTAAATGCAGCTAGAGCAAATAATACATCATTTTCAAGTGGACAATAATTAGAAAGGCAGTTCAGCTTTAAAAAGAAACTATAGAAACCAGAAAACAAGTGAATACCATCTGTAATGGGCAGAAAAAAGGAAGGAGAGATGGAGGTAGAGACAATAAGAGAGGAATGAAATGTGAGAGGAAGAATGAATGGAAGATAGAGGAAGAACAACATAGGATTTTTACAATAATCTTGTGATATATGTGGTATAATTACCTCATTATCGTAGAAAACTGAGAAGGTTCAGATACATTCAGAACTTTACCAAGATCAGATAGCCAGAATTCAAACCCAGATATCTCTCATTCATCACTATTAAAAAATTTCTAAATTCAAGATAGAATATTAATTCCATAAACTTACTGGAAAGGGTCCTAAGCTTGTCTTTGCAAGAAAAGTAGATATTAACTACTGGAGAAGGGAGGAGAGGAATAATGCTGTGCACAGACAGCATCATGCATGAAGTCATGAAGTGTAAGTTGGAAATGTTAGACAATAAGACTGCAAAGATAGTCAAAGATAGACTTTGCAGGACCTATCATGTCACAAAAATAGTTAAGGGATGAATTTTATATTGAGAGTGATAATAATCGATTAAAGGGGTATGTCATCAAATTTGTGTTTGAAAATTAAAACTCTACTCCTAAGACAGAGACTAAAATTGGAAGATGATAATGACAGTTGCTTAAGTTTATTTTATTAGGAAAGGACAAGAGGGGAAAAAAACCCTAGGAAGTGATTATTGCAATAAAAGGTATAGTGCTTAAACAAGAATCTTTAGGAGATGACAATTATGGGTGTTGGCAACTGTTAGGGAGTAGTGTGGAAGGAAGTGTCAGGGAATAATGAATTCTATACTTGGGGCACTTTGGTGACCTAGTGGTAAGAAACTGCTGCAATCTCAAAGGCACGCCGTTTAAAAACACCACTTGCTCCATGACAGAAGGATGAGTAATTTCCTCCCGTTAAATTTACTACCTCTGAAAGCCACTGGAGGTCAGCTACAGATTGTTTCCAACTCAACAGCACGCAACAACAAGAAAATACTTGGATAAGTAGAGGTGATGGCTTGCTTTGTTGAGCTGGAGAACAGATGAGTAGGGAGTTTGGGAAGGAAGCAGGGAGGAAAGAGTGAGTTTTGCTTAGGACTCAAGGAATCTGTGGGACTCCACGGATCCTCTATGTCTAGAGCTGAAATCTCGGGGGTTAGGAAGCTGAATGTCATCTACACTTCTACAGTAACTGAAGCCTTTGGAGAGAATGAGATTTCCCAGATAAAATTTACTGACGGAGATGTGAGTGAAACTAGGCCCCAGAAAAATCACAACAGTTAAGGGTTACCTTTAAGGGAAAAAATATAGAGATGATGATGATACTGGGGCACCAAAGAGGAGATCACGATAAGTTACACAGAACCAAGGAAAAAAGAGCTCTTGAAAGATAAGGCGTTCTTCATAATCAATGTGCACAGACACTAAATAATACAAAATGTATAAGTATCTGTCCTTTTATCAACAATTTAGAAAAATTATTTTAGCAGATATATACATTTTTACTTGATGAAAAATGATGAGGGCCTAAAGCATTTGTTGCAGAGGATCAAGTACCGTAGTTTGCAATATGTATTGAAGCTCAACATCAAGAAAATGAAGATTCTCACTACTGGGACCATTAATCACTCATGATAGATGGAAAAGAGATTGAGGTTGTTAACAGGTATAGCTTGTTTGACTCCACAATTAACACTGCTGACACCAGAAGTTAGGAAATCAAAAGACTAATTAATTGCATAAGAAAATCTACTGTCAGGGACCTCTCCAGAGTACTGAGAAGCAACAATGTCAATCTAGAGATGAAGGTGCACCTCAGGCCATGGTCTTCACAATTATGCATCAGAGAGCTGGACAATGACTAAAAATAATAGAAGAATTAATGCCTTTGAGTTATGGTGCTGGAAAAGAGTATTGAACATACCATTGACTGCCAAGAGAACAAACAGGTCTGTCCTTGAGAGGATGGAATCAAGATGCTTCCTGGAGACAAGGATTTTGAATTTCCGTCTCTTTGGGCATGTTGCCATTAGGGACCAGTCCTTGCAGAATGACATGCTTGGAAGGATGAAGAGACAGAGCAGGATAGAAAGATCCTGTATAAGATGGATCAACACAGTAACTGGGGTAATAGGAATAAGTGTGTCAGACAGGGAGACTGGCTTGGGATAGCACAGGATTCAGAGCTGTTGTGCATAAGGTCGCAGTAAGTACCAAGTGATTAGATGGCACATGACAACAATAACAGCTGCATCAGCTGCATGCTGAAAATCTGTCTTTGGATGTTTAAAAACATTTACAACTTACATTCAATACTGAGCTCCTGATTTTCCTAAAGATTATCTCAGAGTTCTTAACTCACAACTCACATGGTTGTATCCAGGTTTAATCCACAAAACCCACTTGGCAATATTTATATTCTATCAACTGATAAGTATGTTTTCCCTTATGGACCACTCTTGCAGCATCTACTACGTGTGATATCTTATCAATATATTCAAGGCAAATTCTTTCACTTCCTTCGGGCCTTAACCAAATTGTCACTTTATCAGAGAGTCCTTTCTGAAATACAATCACTCTTCTCTGTCTCTCTCCCTGCTTGTCTTCCCTTTTAATACGTCTTGCTTCTAAAAAATAATGATTTTTTTTATTGGGGGGTAAATTCCATCTGTATTGTTATTTAACATTTATGATAATGGTAAATAATTTATTAAGCAACTACAGTGTTTATTAGCAATATACATCTGTCAGCACAAATTCAAGGGCCAAGATGAGAATAATATTGACTGTGATAATTGAGAAAAATGGATTCATTGCTATTGAGTCAGTTATGACATACAATAATCCTTCTTCAGGTTTCTAAGGCTGTAAATCTTTGGGAGATTGTGGCCATTATCCCCAGAGAGCAGCTGGCAGATTTGAATTCCTGACTTTTTGTCTAGCAGCCTCATACGGCACACATTGAACCACCAGAACTCCTTTTGGTGTATGGTAGGAGCTCAATAAATCTAGAAAGCACTAGAGGAAGTCTAGGTCTCTGTCCTCAAAGATGTTGTTGTTGTTGTTGTTGTTTTTGTTATGTGTCATTGAGTCGCTTGCGACTCATAGCGACCCTATGTACAACAGCCCTAAACTCTGCTCTGTCCTGTGTCAATTGCACTGTCTCTGACACTCCCATCCCGACTATCCTAGTCACTGAATCAATCCACCTCATAGAAGGCCTTCCCCTCCTGCGCTGTCCCTCAACCCTCCCAAGCATGATGTTCTTCTCCAAGGACCGGTCTCTCCTCACAACATGTCCAAAGTATGTTCCTCAAAGATAAGTTGGCATAATAAGGAAAAGACTAC